GTTATATAGGTATAATTATTTAGATAATACTAACTTATGACAATTCAACATTAGTCATTATTATAGTATAATGACATTATATTTTTTTGGACCATTTAATAGGTAGATAGTTTAAATTAATTCGATGTGTTTATAMATTTTGAGAATTTTTAAATTATAGTCTTATTTTAGTCATTGGTGAAACCTAATTTTATCTAGTGTTTTGCTCTTGCCCAACACTGACTAAAAGACTGCAAAGTATCGAATTAAAATACAATTTAATTGCAGGAATGAAACGTGGTATGTCTACTGGCTGCTATAATATACTGTATATAATCTTTAAACTTTAAGCGGCATATTATATTTCGCACGTTGAAGGYGCTTGTGTTAGTAAAAAATACAATTCACGAAGGTGAACCAGAAATAATGGTTTTTTTTGCCACCACCAATTATCTAAGTATAATATTACCTTATGCAGGTACAATTATATACAAAGCCACTCTCGCGATGCTCCGGCACCAACTACCAGACTTATCGTATGAAATCGTATACCTATATCGTAAATCGTATAAAGGCAGACAAATTGGTGGGGAGGAGATATAGACTCTCCCCGAAGACCTTTTTCAATATTATTTATAATAACAATAACTTAATTATAGGGAAATATAAATTATAAATATAATGTATTAAATGGTGATCATTATCAAATAGTACATTAAAAAAAAAATCAATTATACCACCCTTCCTCTCATCCTTGCCATAACAAAATCATGTAACCGCCGCTGATAATGATAGTACCAAATCTTTTACATAAATGCAAATGTTATAGGTAAAATATATTTTGCAACTAGTTAAATAAAATATTATAATGTAGTATTTTTGATATAGGCTGACTAAATCATTTTTTTCTTTTTTCTGAAAATTTTTACAATATTATGCGCTCTTTAAATTAAGCACTAGCAACTTAAATTATATAGTTATGTGTTGGTGCTAATTTTGCTGAAAAAGTAGATACCATTGGTTTAATATTTAAAAGTTCATACAAAAACTAAAAAGTAAATATTTATAATGTATATATTATTATGAATTATGATTTATAATACGTGCATTTCATATATATTCGTGTATTACCCTTTGGATTCACATTATATTTATATAGAATTGTCGACCGATTTGCGTATTCATATATATATTTGTACATCGCCCATGTCGTCGTGCGGTTATTTACATGTATGTATAATGTAGGTATGTACAGTTATATAAACGCTTCTACGTAACCGAAAATGAATAAAATATGACGCATATTTATAGTATTGTAATATTATAGGCAAGGTACACACACAAATACACCTATATGTATATAAATATCGGTTTTATCGTTGCAATATAAATCAAATACCACGTCAGGTGCACTCATTGCGATTGCTTACGTTTTTGGCTTTACATCTAATATCATTGGTTATATATTTCTTGGTAAAGATTTATGCGYATTATCAGTGTGATCTCTTAACTACGCACCCTTATTTCATTATACATAAATATACATTTATTGTAATTGTATTTTTTTTGGAATATWTAAGCGATGGTGAAAACTTTTGGTGTTCAAATGTGAACCTYAATATTTCATTTATAATTTCATTAAGCRCATATGGTTTTGTATATAATCTTGTTAAATATATATATATATTTAGGTATTTAAATTTAATTTCAAATAAGTTCTTAGCTTCTGAATTATTAATTATTCTGCTATATACATTATAATGCCTATATTTAGCTTTAAGATCAATACTCTATGACTACTATTTTGTATTTTGTATTTACTGCAGGCTAATAACCTCAGGAGTTGAAGCCTTATTTAAATAATAATAAAAAAAAATACCTATATTTAGTATGCAGTAGTGTCAGTAGTGAAGGAGAAATACTCAGTTATTAATAAATATAAGTCTATGATCTATGGTATTAATAGGGTCTAAAAATAATCGAACTGGAAAAAATGGACATAGCCAATTGGACGTGGGGACAATCATACGTAAAAAAGATTAAACAAAAAATAGGAGGTGACTTAGGTACCAGAATGCTTAAAACCTTTACTTGACTGGTCTAAAGACAATTATGTTGGAAGAATTAATAGAAACGGAAAAGATCGTCGGATAATACGAATCGGATAGATTATTCTCATATACCTATATTTAAAATTTACATCGAAGAGTTTTGAATTGTCAAGATAGAACTAACAGTCTAACAACCATACTGAAGCAACATCCTAGTTCAACATCTTAGTTCTTGGTCAATCAATTGTTTACGAAAAGTAAAACCTGACGGATGAGATGTATTTTACGGCTAACTTGAAGCAGGCAAGAGTCCCCCAAAAAATTAAAGAATTTTATACGTATTTTAAGAGTAATTTTTCAAAGAAAATATAGCGTGATTGAAAAGACCACCCTGTATTTGRACAGTGTTTTCTTATAAATGTGTTGCCAAGTTTTCAATGAGATATGTCCAGTATGAGAAAATCACATGCAGGTATCACAGTATGTAATTTTGTATAAATACATAGTACATTATATAGTTACCTTGTTACCTATATATTTTTATATACCAGTTTGAACATACAACTTACAAGCGTATTCCTTATATTATAAGGTTGAATATACTTATGTACGGAATGATTGGTGATTTTAAGAAAATTCATCATTCGACTACAAAAAAACGTACATTTTCTCTCTGACAAAATAACGTTGTTACCTACTGTCGTTGTCTACTCGTACACAGTAATATAAGTACGAATTCTGAAATACTCATACTGTTATATACCAAGTAATAACTGAGTAGGTATATATTATTATAATAACAAGACTAACAAGAGTAGGTATAGTTTATATAAGGTAYTCAAATAATTTTTCTTCCACCAAACCAGTAATATATTATGTTTATTTTTTAGGTAAAATTGAATTGTAGATAGGGYGTGTAATGTGTTGCATAGATTTATTGATATCACGATAAAAAAATGTTGTTTACCTGTTATATGAAAAATGTGAGTTTTTGGGTTATAAATTTTACGTTCTACACTCGTATGGAGGTGTTTACATGGGGTATTTTGGAATTTCGCGAAACAAAATCAAAACAGGATTGAACATTTTATTTTTTATTATTATTGTTTTTGTTTAGAATATACAGCAATACAGAGGGACGCGTAGTATATTATTATAGTTCTCGATCCTACACGCGCGCTAGTCGTTATGTTATTTGTACGTGCCGAGTCGTGAGGGCTAAAAGCAGAGGTGGWGTCGAAATCGTTGTCACGCGCACATCCGTCCGCGGGGTAGACGATCGTAARGGGGYGGCTTGGTGGCAGTGGCAGACGTTATATTTCAAGTCAAAGGACTTGTGGTAGAATACTGGAAAAATAGAAGGGAGAAACTCGGTGCGGGCGYAAGATTGTTTATATCTATATGAACGTGCTTCTTTAAGGTATACCTATATATATTATATAGGTAACATTATATATATTTTTATAAAAACGTCAGCTGTTCTCGTACGTGAGGCATACGGTTTTGATTATTTGGGGGGGGAGAGGGGGTAACCCGCTTGGTATATATTATATCGTACATATATTATTATTATTATTCATCGGGCACGGGGCGGCGCGTCGCGTTTGCCAAAAATACAGATATGTTTGAAAAATCTCCGTCGCCGTTGTCTCGTTGGACAAAAAAAAAAGAGAAAGAGAAAAAAGGAACCCGAATTTCGTAATTCACGAAATGGGGGGAAGAATCTTTTGGCAGCGCAACATGTGTGCCTCGCGTGTGTCTCGCGTTCCTTTATAATAATATAATACACCATTATTATTATTATTATTTGTCTCTCCCCGCTCTCCCCCGCCGCCGCACACTTCGTGCGTGCGTTTTATAAACACGAACAACTGGATTTGCAGCCATGAAATTATTATACTCACCGCCGTTTCAGCTGCCTCGGCGGCGAGGACATAAGACGGTGGCGACGGCGGTTGTCGGTTCGATGGAGCGCCTCCTGCAGTTTAAGCGACGCGTATTATATAATAATATTATACATGATACTACCGCTGCGATATTAACATAGGTACAAACTATTGTCCATAAAATATTATTAGACGATATTGAATATTACTACTTATACTCATTACCGTAGGCTATATTAAAATTATATATAGTTGATGRCAATATTGACGAGTTTATTATAATGGTAATAATTATATTATAATTTACGTATTTTAACAATATGTTTATGTATTATACATCTTTAAACAATAGGCATCATGTTTTGTATACGTAAACAGTGCGTGTAAGCCATATATATATTTTCGTGTTGACGAGTGCTTCCAATTTCAGACCATATAATATATATATAATATTATATATATAAATATATCACGATGATATTATAATATATAACTAATAACTATAATCGTATGTAACATATTATACTGCATGTATTTAATACCCTTTACCACATACGATATAAATATATAATTACTATGATAGTACTACGAAGCGCTTAGCGAGGTGCAGTGTATACAATATTATAATGTCAATTCACTCAAAAGACAAAACTGGTTCATCAGCCGAATCGCGCAAGGTGTGCGTKTACTTTATACTCATACAATATACATATAATACCTATACATGAACACTATACCTATATAGTATTATGTGTATAAAATATATATATATATTGTGCTTGTAGCGTGCATACCTATATTAAATAGTTCAACGGTGCAGCTTGCAGCAGAGTGCTYCTGCAGCACTCCCCCGCATCAGAGGGTAAAAAGAAATGCGCGCAGGGTGAACGCGACCCATTGTCGCCGCCGCCTGCTCGGTCTTCCTGCTCTCTCTCTCTCGCACCACGCGCACACGCACCACTCACGCACTCATCTGCTCCCCCACCCGTTTTCTGGGTTATTATTATTATATATATATTTTTTTTCGGCGGGCACGTTCGACACGACCGACGACCACCTGCCACCGGAGAGCCTATCCCGCGGCTGCAGTCGGCTTAATCGTCCCGTCCGTCCACTGCAGTGTGGCGCGCGCTCATCGGCACTCCGTACTGCAGTCTACGCAATCGGTAAAAGTATAATACGTACACTCCGAATTGCACCACTGCGATAACTCAATCGTCGTACTAAAATACAGTATAAAAGTAAAAAAATCGCCGTCGTAGTTTTGTTAAGTAGGTAATAGTAAGTTGGATAGTTAATCAACACACTTGTCGCACGTTTTCTCACCTTCGCCCGATCATGAAGCGCAAAGACGACGGCGCCCAACTGGACCACCACCTCAACATGATGCTGGAGCTGGTCGAGCGGCTAGAACGGAGCAAGTGGTCTGTGGGTTCCGGTGGCCGGCGGTGGCGACCTGACGCCCGGCCGCCCCTGATGCCCGTCCAAGCAGAACTCCGCACGCTGGAGCTTTGGCGGTCCGTAATGGCCGAGTGTCTGGCCACGTTCCTGTACGTGGCTGTCGTCTGCGGCGCGGCCACGTCCGACGCTTCGCCCGTACTCGGCGCGGCCGCCGCGTCCGGGTTCACCATGCTCGCCCTGACCGTGTGCCTTCAAAACGTGTCCGGTAACGTACCACATTTTATAATTATAATTAGTTACTATATAATATTGCACGCGATTCTTGTTCTTGATCTTTGTCGTCAATCGTTAGACAGGTCTGTTCTAGGTGCTCTATACATGGGACTGTGGGAAGTCTTGTAGTCCTCTGTTGCAACCATGTTCTTTAAATCCAGGTCATGTCTTCTTCTGCTTATACATCTGTTCTTTCATGTGGTCGCCGGCTGCCGTGCTATACGCGCCCTTTATAATCATATTCCCCCAATGTCACTGTCGTTAACGTCTACATCAACTATGTTCTTTTCTGCAGTGATATACCGTATCTTTAATCTATATATCTATAACAATCTAAACTCTAATGATTATGATATATCGCGTATTACCGCGGTATAGTTGGTGCAACCATCACCACGGCTATTAATCTATTATATA